GGAGGAAGGACAAGGAGTAGAAAGAAGGGCTGTTGAGACATGTTCCATGTGGATAGTCAGTGATGGTCGGCCTTATCTTGTCCAAAGAGTGAATAAGCCCCACTTCTGGAATGGCCTCCAACTCATCTCCTCCTGCTGGGCTCTGGCTGTCCCCAGGTGATTTTCATCTGGCACCTGAGTCTCCCATTGCCTAACTCTTTTCATGTTCTCCTGTGCCCCTCCCCTGTTTACGTTCCCCAAGCATGTTTCAGACTTTTCTTCATTCCCACCCCTTCCCTTCCAGTCTTCCACTGGAATCCTGATTGCCTCTACCCAGCCTTTATTTTCCTTCATTCTTAGAATCTGGACTGATCTGCTTTAATTTCTATCCTGTCATTGGACCTCACCTTATTCAAACCGTTCATGTCTAGTCATGTCTCCTGATACACGTAGCTGAATGTGAGCCGCAGGGGCCCAGCAGGGGCCCTCCAGCTTTAGCATCGACAAGCATCGCCCAGCTTTCCTTATTTCTTTCTTCATGATTCCTTAGCCCATCAAAAGCAGATGCCCTTCCCCCAACCTAGTTCCTCACTATCCCTGCCACCGAGACCCCTCCCCCCAACACAGCAAACTTTCCCAGTCCTTTGAACGAGGAAGACGTACCATTTTCATGTTATTCTCTCACCACCTCCTGAGAATGATATTTATTGGAGGTGTTTAAGTTCTATTTGAATCCTGAATCTAGAACCTCATTTTTATTGGATGCAGAAAGATGGGACTGGGAGGGTACCCTTAGTTATTACAGAGGGGAGGGGACTGAGTCCACTGTCCTTGAGCTATAACCACACACATTTTCTTCCCCATGTTCCTGTGCTCCTGATGAGGCAGGAAGTCATGGTGATATTCTCCATGGAAACAGGGAAACTGAGGCAGAGCAGTTTCTCAGAGACTCCCATCAAGGAATGGATGGGGAAGGTTTTTCTGAATCCTGTAGATCAGTGGTTCTCAACCTTCCTAATGCCGTGACCCTTTAATACAGTTCCTCATGTTGTGACCCAACCATAAAATTATTTTCGTTGCTACTTCATAACTGTAATGTTGCTACTGTTATGAAGCGTAATGTAAATATCTGATCTGCAGGATGTATTTTCATTGTTACAAATTGAACATAATTAAAGCATAGTGATTAATCACAAAAACAATATGTAATTATATATGTGTTTCCCGATGGTCCTTGGTGACCCCTGTGAAAGGGTCGTTCGACCCCTAAAGGGGTCGTGACCCACAGGCTGAGAACCGCTGCTGTAGATGGTACATTTCTTGAGAGTGGGAATTGTAGCTTCCTTCCTCTGTGTTTCTCCCCCACAGTGCTCACTGAGGGCCTCTAAAACCGGTGGACACCATTCATGGTCTCACCAGACTCCCAGAACTCCACTTGGCCATCAGCTCTAACAGGGCTGGGGCTGTGTCCACGGGTGGGGAATATAACCGGGTGGTTAAAACACAAGTCCTCATGTTCCAGAGCCACCCAGCTCTCCCTCTGCCCTCACAACCTGACCTCCTACCTTGACATAGTCATAGAAACAGTCTTCAGAAGGCTCCAGGTCAAACTGCCAGAAGACAAGCTTCACCCTGTATCCCGTGGGGACTGTGATCACAGTGGTGGTCTCAAAGTTGTTGGGGTAAGGCTTGGGGTACAGAGGGGAAGTCACCTCCCCATAGAGGTCCTGAGCGATGGGCATGGAGCCTCCCACCTTGCAGAACAGGACTGACAGCAGGAGGTATAAAAGCCACCTGCCAGAAAGAAAGAGGGTGTCTGGAGGGCGGTTTGGGCAGTGACTGGGGTGGGGGATGGGGTAGTCATATTGCTGGACATTTTCCTCTGCCCATTCTAGACCTCACGGATGTTCCAGGTGAGTGTGGTTGGAGTGGGGAGGCTGGTCTCTGCATCGGCTGCATTGATTGTTTCTCCCCAGGGCAGAGTCCAGTCCAGAGGTCAACTGCCTTCACCTCTCTCCCCATCCTCCTCCACTGCCCTGTACCATCACTCCCCCCTCCCCCAACCCTCCCTTCCCATTCCTGGAATAGGGATGGCTTGGGACCAGCTAGTTGAGGGTGAAGGTTTCCAGTCATGGTTCTCTTAAAGGGCTCCCAAAGGCTCAGCAAAGGCCTCTGGGAGAAACCGCCTGTGGAGTATGGAGAAGTGTAGCACAGAAGACACCCTACTGAGCAGAGTGTGTTCCCCCATCTTGGCACTCGCCTGCTATGAGCTGGGGGGATGAAGAGGATGTGGCCATCACCTCAGATGTCTAAGGCCTCCGTTAGTCCTCAGGGGGAGGGATGGGGACTATGAGTTTGAGTGTGTGCATGCATGTGCACATTGGAATAGATAAGGGATATGGGGAGGAGAAGGCTGTTCTTGTCTGTCTGAATATATTTGGGGGCAGCGTTGCCTCCCATGCCCAGGGTTCTCCCCTCTGGTATCATCCTCCCTCCTCGGTCCCCGTCAGCCTTACTCACATTTCTCAAGTCCTGTTTTTGGATCCTGGACTCTCCTGACAGCGTCTTCATCCACTCTGTGTAGAGGGAGAGAGCAGCGGTCATGCAGAGGAGAGAAGGGGGAGGGAGGGACTGACTGAGTTGGGGGGAGGGGGACCTTTCCCGGAGGAATGCTGTAGGGAATGAACTATTTGCATAAACAAAACTGAAAAAAAAAATCTGTTTCCAGTTTCATTCAGTTTTGGTTTTGAATTCTCTGATAGTGCTGCCACCTGCTGGCCTATATGGGGAAGAGTCAGTTTTTAGGGACAGAAAAGCCTTGGGTTGGAAGCCCAAACTTCTTGTTTTCTAAGTCTGATCTGAATACTCCCTATCTTCAGGGACCTTCCTAGGGATTGCTGCTGTGTTTACAAGATTCCCACCCAAAGTGCAGTGGAAATCACAGCTGAGGGGACTCTCTTTTCTGGACTGCCCTTTTCCATTCACTGGGTTTGTCCTGCCCTTAGTCACAGCAGCCCTGGTCCAGCAATGGCCAGAGTTTTGACACCCGGGATGATGTGACAGGGGTAGGGGAGGGCAGCAAGGGTGTGGACAGAGGAGAACGGAGTTTGGCTGTATTGGAACCCTCGCTTACTTTGCTCATGGATGACACCTAGACATAGGACAGGAATTGCTGCACTAGGGTCTGTTTTAGACTCCTCCTCCCCACCTCAGTGAAATTGGTTTTTAGAGAAGCAAGGGCAGCTGGGGAGTGGGTGGAGACATCCTCTTTGCCTCAGCATCTTGTTAAGAATTTGAGCCCCTGAGCATCACAGTTGCTTAGGGCCAGGCGAAGGGAGTGGCTGTGGACCAAGAGTGACTTGAGGGGAAGCTAGACCCCTGGGAGGGAGGAGAGCTCTTGTCCCTCCTGCCCACCAGGACATAGTGTCCTGTTTTAAAGGTTTGCTGTTTGTGGGAGCCTTTCTTCGTCAACTCTCCATGGTTCAAATGCCTTATGGCAATGAATTCCATTGGGAGGCTCAGGCTGCAGAGCAGGGCCCTGAGTTCTGAGGCCTTTGTTGTGTATCCTGCTTGTTTCCCTTATTAGATTAATTCCTCTATCCCTGCACCCACCCACCCACTCATTCCTAAGTCTGATCTGAATACTCCCTATCTTCAGGAACCTTCCTAGGGACTGCTGCTGTGTTTACAAGATTCCCACCCAAAGTGCAGTGGAAATCACAGCGAGGGGACTCTCTTTTCTGGACTGCCCTTTTACATTCACTGGGTTTGTCTTGCCCTTAGTCACAGCAGCCCTGGCCAGAGTTTTGACACCCGGGATGATGTGACAGGGGTAGAGGAAGGCAGCAAGGGTGTGGACAGAGGAGAACGGAGTTTGGCTGCATTGGAACCCTCGCTTACTTTGCCACCTACTTAATGTGCCAGGCACTTTCGTAGGCAATGGATTATAAGGACTCATGAAGATGGAGCAGTTCGCCGTTAGGCAGCAACAAGTCATCACTGAATGCAGTGAGAGCAGACACGTGGAGGATTTCTTCAGCAGGCTTACATGTCGAGCTGAGGAATACATCTTACGGCAGGGCTGATCCATGGCATGACCCATGACATGACCCATGGCCTTGTAAGGTCAGGAAAGACAAAAGATAGGGAGGATAAGGACTAGATCAGGAGATAAGAAAGCGGGGACTCTTGTCCAGCAAATTGCACATTAGCATCCTGACAGCAGTGTGTGTGTGTGTGTGTGTGTGTGTGTGCGTGTGTGTTCATGGGGGGAGCAGGATGGCAGAGGTAACAGGGAAGGAGGAGGTGGTCTGAGAAGGTAAGTCTTTGCTGAAGCTCTCCTAGCCCATCTACAGATTCTGAGGTCTGTCCCAGTGTTTTACAACATAACTGGAAAGTGACAAACTTGGCCCTCATTAGCTTAGTCCCACCCTAACCTCCACTCTGCCCAACTACTCAGAATAACCTTTTCTTACACATTTGACTTATGCCCTTGACTCATAACAAGAATAGAAAGAAGGAACAGCCATATAAAGAGTGTCAGGCACTTGACTTAAAGACAGTATTCAAAGACATTGTCTATTACATTGTTCATTCCTCTTAGGATTTGATTTTGGGGGAAAATTTTTTTCCTTTAAAGTAATGGTAGGTTTTTCTTTGTGGCTATATCTATAATTATACCTATATCTAGTTATATAAATATAGATGTATACATATGGGTATATATTTTTTGCCTTGGTTGGGAGAAACTCATATCATTTTTTTTCAATAATAAAAAACAGTAAAACTAAACACATGTTCATTAAATAAAATTTAGCAAATAGAGAAAAACATGGAAAACAAAACATCCAGAATTATACCACTTAAAACAATCTCTGAAGAACATTTTAGAGTATTTTAAAAATGTCTTTATTAGTTGAATGATTTTAGAGAGAGTGGAAGGGAGAGGGATAGAGAGATAGAGTCATTGATGAGAGAGAAACTTTGATCGGCTGCCTCCTGCATGCCTCCTGCATGCCCCCTGCAGGGATCAAGCCTGCAACCCCCACATGTGCCATGGCCAGGAATTGAACCAGTGACATCTTGGTTCATGGGTTAACACTCAACCAGTGAGCCACACCTGCTGGGCTTAGAGTATTTTTCATGGTCTTTGTATTATGTACTATTCAACTTTGTAAAATAGAAGTAACCACATGTACGTTCACATTTTAATCCTACTTTTCCAAAGGTAAATTTAACCTTTAACTATATAGCTACCTTGATTTTCAATAGTAGCAAATTTGCTCTCTTCTCTGTTTCATTCATTTTCTAGTTCTATTTGAACAAGTGTATTTTATTTGCAACTTTTACTCTAAATCGCCATCATGTCCTCACTAAAAATTAAATAGTTGGTCCTCTCAGGTGGAGCATGGCCCGGGGTGTCCAGCAGCACTGGAGGTCCTGTGGGAACATCCAGCCCAGGGCTGGGCTCAGGAGATGGGGTGTCTGCAGGAGATGGGGCCCCAGGAAAGTGCGAGCCAGGTGTCATCCTCCTCACTGAAGCAGGAATTCCCAGGGAGAGAGAATCTGTAGGGGTGTCGGATTGGGAGGGGAAGTGGGGGAACCCTGAGAAGTGTAAAGGTGCACTGGGAAGCACACGGCCTTGGCTGTCCCAGACCAGCTGTGGCATTTGGGCAAGTCACTTTACCCCTCTGAACTTCAGTTTCCTCATTTAAAATGTGAGTCAGCAGAGTGGAAAAAACTTTGCATTGAGTCTTGAAAAAGTACTCCCACAGTAATAGTGTCCAATTGTTCATAGATGAAAGGTTGATCCATACATTTACTAACAAAGCTTAAAAGTAAGCCTGAAAAGATCAAGTAAATTCCAATAAAACCTGCATCCACATCCTCTTTACCCAATCATGTACTGAGGGACACTTCCATATCCTGTGATCCACATATACAATGGAATACTACTCAGTCACAAGAAAAGATGAAACAACTGCTGTTTGGGACAACCTGGATGGATCTGGAGAATATCATGCTAAGTGAAATAAGTCAGAGATAAAAAGTCAAGAACCATATGATTTCACTCATGTGGAATATAAAACTGAAAGTGATAAATGAACAAACGAACAAACAAAAACTCATAGACACAGACAACAGTATGGTGGTTACCAGAGGGGTTGGGGTGAGGTAGTAAAGCTTTGTTATAGGGGCTCAAATATATGGTGATGAAAGGAAACTTGACTTTGGGTGGTGAATACACAATGCAATATGCAGATGATGTATTATAGAATTGTACACTTGAAAATATAATTTTATTAACCAATGCCACCCCAATAAATGTAATAAAAAACTGTCTAAAAACAAGCTCCAAAAAAATGTAAAGGAGTAAAAATAAACTTAAAATCTATAAAGCTAAAGAAGGAAAATAAAATGTGATCATAACACATCCTTTGCAAACTTGGTGTGAGGAGTCAATGAAGTAGCATGTGTGAAGCGCCTGGTATAGAGAATATGTAACAAAAACCGGGCTGTCACTGTAATTGCATCTGGGAGTTGTGGTAGGCGGTGCAGCTGACAGTTTGGCTATTTGAAGGTCAATTAAAGAGATTTGGGAATGTTTCAAAGATGCAATGCAATTAAGACCACTTCCCTCATACATCACTGAACAGGGGGATGAGAGGGTGGCTGTGTCAGCAGAAAGTGAAGTTCAAAGTGAAACTCACTGAGATGTACAGGGCTTCCCTGGGCTTCAGGCAAACTCACAGGAAGGTGGAGGGTGAGGAGGGGTTGGGGGACTCCCTTCTTATCTGGCATGAGATCAGCCTTGAGCAGAGGAGGAGTTCTCTCTCAGGAACTCGGATAGGGATTCCCTGCCCACCCCCTCCCCGCCCACAGGACTCAGTCTTCGCTTTCAACCCTCTTCTCCTGGGGCCTCCACAGTGCTGGTGTCATTGCTCAGCGCTCCCAGGGTCAGCCCTTCCCACCCATCACGTCCTTGATCCAGTCCACATAATTGAGCACTTTGGTGTAGAAGCCGTACCCTTTGCCACACCCAATGCCCCAGGATACGATGCCCGTGGCCACCCAGTGACGGGCATGGCCATCCCATACTACATAGACGCTACCACTGTCCCCCTGGCAGACACTCTGCTGCCGTGTCTTATCCCCGACACAGAACATGTTATCAGAGAACACCTCAGTCCTCTGTTTCTCTTGAAGCCAGGCCTCGCAGGCCTCCCTCGGGGCAACAGGCAGCCTTGAGTATTTCAACTCGGTAGTTAGCCAGCCCATCTGCACACCAAACCCACTGACATAGCCCATCAGGCCACTGCGGTAGAGGGTCTCGTTGTCAGGCAGACAGACCGGGAGGAGGTGGGGCCCCAAGGGGACACTGTGCTGGAGTTCCAGGAGGGCAATGTCCCCGTTGAAGTTGTAGGACTCGTTCTGACGGTAGTCTGGGTGCACAACCACACGGCGCACAGGGTGGTTCCCCAGTTTTATCATCTCATCTATGCCTGTGTGGCCCAGGAACACGTCCACATTCCTCTTCTTCCCGAGAAAGATGCTGTCTTTGGGATAGATGGTGTGGGCGGCCGTGAGGATCCATCTGTCGCCCAGCAGGGCCCCGCCCCCACGGCCATAGATACTGGTGAAGGCTTGCCAGGGGAAGTTGCCCAGCTTAGCTTTGGAAGAACCCTGGGCCTCCTGGTTCTGGGCGATGGGGGTGACTGGCTGTCCACAGACTGGGAGAGAGGAGAGGTAAGGGTGAGACACCAGCATGCATCAAGCCACAATGATTAAAGACCCACTTCTGTGAAGTGCTCTTCTTCCTGCCTCCTTAGCCATTTTAAGCTACTTTTTTACTCTCTTGGTGGGACCACCCTGAGCAAACTCATGTTGCAAGCAGAGTTTGCCTTCAGTGCCTCTTGCCTCTGTTTTTTGTGTAATTTCTTCATTTAAAAAAATGTTTTATTGATTTTGGAGGGAGAGGAAGAGATGGAGGGACAGAAGAAGAGAGAGAAACATTAATGTGATAGAGAAACATTGATTGGCTGCCTTCTGCATGCCCCCCACTGGGGATGTGGGGGGATGGAGCCTACAAGAACCGGAATCCAACTGGTGACCCTTTGGTGCATGGGACGATGCTCAACTAACTGAGCCACACTGCCCATGGCCATTTCCTCAGGCTGCCCCTAGAGCTTTCTGTGGATCAGGAGTAAAATCTGAAAAATTTATTCAAGAAAGGCAATGGTTTGACTAAAAAAATGGGTTTCAAAAATGGTAGGCTTGAATCCTCATATACTGCTGATGGGAATTTACAATGGTGCATCCATTGTGGAAAACAGTTTGGCAATTCTTCAAGAAGTTAAATATAGAGTTATGATAGGACCCAGCAATTCCACTCGTAGGTATATACTCAAGAGAACTGAAAACATACGTTCAAACAGAAACTGGTACATGAATGGTCATAGCAGCATTGTCTATAAAGGGCAAAAAGTGGAAACAATCCCAGTGTCCATCAACTAGTGAATGGATAAACAAAATGTGGTATATCCACACAGTGGAATTCTATTCACTCATGAAAGGAAGGAAGTACGAATACAAGCTACAATGTGGATGAAACCTGAAGACATTGTGCTGAATGAAAGAAGCCACGCACAAAAGGTCACATATTGTATGATTCCATTGATATGAAATGTTCAGAGTAGGCAAGTCCATAGAGACAGAACACAGATTAGTGGTTGCCAGAGGATGGGGAAGGGGAGAGTTGGAAGGGTACTGGGTTTCTTTTTGGGATGATGGATATGTTTTGGAATTGGTGGCAATGGTTGCACAGCATTGTAAATAGACTAAAAATTACTAAGTTGTACACTTTAAAATGGTGAATTTTATATTATGTGAATTTTATTTCAGGAAAAAGCCAACCAAACAAAAAAGGTGGACTTTCTGGCCCTGTGGGATCTAAGAAGGGAGATATTTTGGGGACAGAGAGCCTGTCTGTGTATTCCTAAAGCGTACCATACCAAGAGAGGGTTTCCTCTTATTACAACCCTGCCCCTCTTTCCTCTTCACTTTTCCATCTGATTAACTTCCTCATGCTTTTGCTTTCTTAGTTATCTCTTTTTTAAAAATATATTTTTATTGATTTCAGAAAGGAAGGGAGAGGGAGAGGGAGAAACATAAATGATGAGGGATAATCATTTATTGGCTGCCTCCTGCACACCCCAACACTGGGGATCGAGCCTGAAACCTGGGTGTAACCTGGGCATGTGCCCTGACAGGAATCGAACCGTGACCTCCTGGTTCATAGGTTGATGCTCAAACACTGGGCTTGGTTATCTCTCGATCTTTGAAGAATATGGGACAAGCTCCTTGCCTCTTCTTTTCTGGACCTTTTTGGTTTCCCTCTTCTTCTTCCCTTTCTGCCTTTATTTCTTCTTTCTATTTGAAGGCTTTCCTCTAACCCCCTGTATCCTGGTCCACAGGCCCCTGCTTGGAAAGTGGCCATAATCACAGCACTGGCAGGTCACTACTCACCAGGCACACAGCGAGGAGCCTCCTCCTTGTCCAGTGTCTCTTTCCCAGGGCTCTGGGCTCTGCAGGTGAGTGTCTCTGAGGAGTGAAATGAAGTGAGGCTCAGAATTGGGAGTTGGGGTTAAAAAAGTAGGTGCTTGCCGAAACCGGTGTTGCTCAGTGGATAGAGCGTCAGCCTGCGGACTGAAAGGTCCCGGGTTCGATTCCGGTCAAGGGCATGTACCTGGGTTGCGGGCACTTCCCCAGTGGGGAGTGTGCAGGAGGCAGCTGATCGATGTTTCTCTCTCATCGATGTTTCTAACTCTCTACCTCTCTCCCTTCCTCTCTCTGTAAAAAATCAATAAAATATATTAAAAAAAAAAAGATTAAAAAAAAAAAAAAATAGGTGCCACAGGCCTCTTGGTGGGAGTAAGGCAGATAGAAGCTGGTTTCCCAGCAGGTGGGGACTCACCTGCTGGCACCGCCTGATAATAGGGCTCCTGGCAGTGGTTCTGGATCTCGGAGGAGTTGTACCCAGGTGTGTGTGTGGCATCAGAGTCACCACTAACCTGGCTGATGGGCTGACTATGGTTCATACCTATAGGGAAAAAGTGGTCATTAGGACCTAGAACAGAATTGCAAACTGGCACCCCAGAGAGTGATTCTGGCCCATGGCCATATTTAGTTTGACCTGTACAGTGTTTTTTGTTTTCTCTTTAAATATTTGAACTATTTTTCACTGATCAGATGGTCAATGCTAAAAAACAAGTAACTAGGATATGGGGAAGCGGGCATTTTCAGACATGATTAGTGAGAGTGTAAAGTACCAAAACCTCTTAGGAGGGAAATTTAGCAATACCAAAATTAAAAATGCATTTTTTTCACCTAGCATTTCCATTTTTAAGAATTTACCCTCATATGTGTGCTCCAAGATGTATATGTAAGATATCCATAACAGTACTGTCTGTGGCAGCAAAATATTTACCAGTGGAAGACTGATTAAACACATTATGACACATCAATCAAAGGAATATTATATGGCCATTAAAAATAATTAGGCAACGCTAGCCGCATGTATATGGAATGATCTTTAAGATATATCACTGAAAAAAAAAAGATATATCACTGAGTGAAAAATGTCAAATTTAAAACATTGTGAATAGTATGCATGCAGCACACACACACACACACACACACACACACACACCTACTCACACAATTATATTTGAATGGCATAGCATGTCTTTGGAAGAATACCCAGGAAATGGAGAATAGAGTTGTTTCTGGACAAGATAGCCAGGGACTAAGGGCCAGAGATCAGAGACTTACTCTTTACCACATTTTTGGGATATTTTTATAGTGAGCATATATTATCTTTAAAAAAATTTTGAGTTACCAATTGAAAAACAATTGGTAACCTTTGGCTTGAAAAAACAAGATGATCTGCAAGTTCTGGGCCAGTAAATAGTCGTGGAAACAAGTGTTGAGCAATGGCTGCCCTTTAACTGGCAGCTCATCAGCAGAGGCCTGGAGGGGGCAGGGAAGGTGTGGGCCTGGGTGTTCCTGAGCCCCCAGTGTCAATTGTCACTCAAGTTTCTGCTTGTAGCTTCAAGGCACCAGGGCCATGGCTATGGGCAGAGAGTGCACCCCCGAGGGACACTCACTCACGGCTTGGTAGAGGACCAGGAAGCCCTTGTGGAGGCCCGTGGTCCTGTCTGCAGAGGAGGCTGGTGCAGGGAAGGTCAGCCGCAAACTGTTCCCCGAGGACACAAACTCCCTCTGACCTGGGGGGCTGCCCAGCGGAGAGCCCATTTGGCCGTAGAACCGGCTTGGATCCATCGCACTGGCTGTGATCTGAAAGGAGAGGGCGGCAGGCAGGTGTGGGGTGAATTTGCAGCACAAGGGGTCACCGGGTCACATCATGGGCACAGGCTTCGTCCCCATCTAGGAGGTCTGCACTCCTCTGGGGCTGAGAAGCTGTTCTCTGTGGAACCTTGTTCAAGTAGCTTCCTGTTCCATTATTGACCCCCCAGTTTCTTCCAGACATGACTAGATACCTTGCATATTTCTTTAGCCTGCTATAATTGTCTCATAAAGTCTCCCATATTTACCTTCTTTCAAGAAGCTCCTTGGGAACAGAGTCAATAACATCATAACAACGATGTTTGGAGACAGATGGTTACTAGACTTATTGTGGTGGCCATTTTGTGAGGTATATTAATATTGAGTCAATATATTGAACTCCTGAAACTAACATAATACTATATGTCAATTATAATTAAAAATAAATCAATAAAAAAGAAGTTCCTTGGAAACCCTAGGGTTCTCCCAATAGTCCACTGGATTGTAAGTTCCAAGAAGGCAGGGAGTACAACTATTCTGCTGGCCACTGAATCCCTGATGCTCAACATGGTGACTATAGCACCACGGCTTTGAATCAACGACGATGCAGACATAAGTCCCTTCCATCCAACCCCATCACCTTCCTCTTCTCTGAGTAACTTCCTGTGGGCCAACAGCTGTGACGCAATAAGACCCTCTGCAAACACTTAGCTGGGGTTCCTGGTCTTCCCTGTTCTCCTTCTTTTGGAGTGTCCCTCCTCTTACCCCATGCACTGTAAATAAAGCCCCACAAGGCGTGGGAATCTAAGGACACAAGTGTACACAGTGTGGATACTCTGGCAATTGTTGTTTAACTTACATGTTCTTTGAGCAGGGTGTCTCTGTGTCAAACCCTTTTGACTGCCTCGCCCCTGCTCAAATTCCTTTCTGTGGGTTCCCCATCCCAACGCAGGATACCTTGGAAGGAGTTCCCTTGACTGATGCTTCATGCTTAGTCTCTATTCTGGGCACACGGCTCACTGCTCAGCTCATTTTATTTTTAAAATTTTATTCCTGATTTCATATTGACCCACATCCTGCGCTCTTGCTAGTTTTTCATTCGCTTATTCTTTCAAAGTCTCAAATTCCTTTAAGAGGCCATCCAGCCTATCTCATTGCGATCACATTAACTGGGTAAAAGTTGGCATGAAGAAAATTTCTCAGTCACCCCAAATGCCTTGCTTGGGCACATTCCAATACTGTTCTTTTCCTCAGAACAACAACAAACTTAAGCCCCATATTTAAGAGACTCATTATCTCTTGGGGGAAGAAGCCTTTTTGCTCTCTGAAACTGTCCTTTACTGATCTACTTGGTTATCAAACTCCTCAGCTTTCTTTTTAGCTTCCTCACAAGTTGTTGGCTAAATAGAATCACGTAGGAGTCTAACTAGCAAAGCAGAATGAACACATGGCCGTGAGTCCTAAGACTTTGCTCTTAGGACTCTGTGACATAGGCAGTTGCTCACCCACCTCAAATCTTAGTTTCCTGTCCTGTAAAATGGTCTGTGAGGCCTCTTGCTGTCAGGGCAGCATGTCCTATGCAGCTTTCCAGTATGTCCCTAAAGAGCAGTGGTGAAGATGATACGAAATACCTGCTCATTCAAAATTCATTGTGCTGCCGGAACCGGTTTGGCTCAGTGGATGGAGCGTCGGCCAGGGGACTGAGGGGTCCCGGGTTCGATTCCGGTCGGGGGCATGTGCCTTGGTTGCGAGCACGTCCCCGGTGGGGAGTGTGCAGGAGGCGGCTGGTCGATGTTTCTCTCTCATCGATGTTTCTGGCTCTCTATCTCTCTCCTTTCCTCTCTGTAAAAACTCAATAAAATATATTGAAAAAAAAAATTCATTGTGCTGTGTGTCCTACACGTATGACAAGCTTGGATTTCATTTATTCTTTCATTTATTTCTTTGAGAGTTATTATGCTCTATGTGCAAGACACTATGCTAAGTGCAGGGATACAGACATGAATAAGACATGGTTCTGCTACCAAGGAGCCCATAGTCTGGTTGAGAATATTGCATTTAAGGTGTGTGTGTGTGTGTGTGTGTGTGTGTGTGTGTGCGTGTGTTGCCCTGGCAGCAGAGAGGAGAAAAGAATTCTATTCCTGAGCTTGGATTTCCTCAATGACAAGGGAAGAGTCAGTCTGGGCTTAAAATTGTCCATGACTAAGAAGAACAGGGCTCATGGTAGGTGCTCAATAGAATCGGTTGAATTGAATATAGTCGGCTTCTGGTGAAATCTGAAGCTTTAAACATGCATTTATCTCAAATCCCATTAATATGACAGCAAAGGGATAAAATGGTGTACATGGTCAAGGACAAACAGTGAGAGACGGCAGCAGATGAGCGATGCCAGTAACATCTTGAAAGGTGGAATGGAGATGCAAAAGGGACAGCCTGACTCTGCAGAGGTGGAAGCCAACATAAAGCAAGCAGGTTCCCATTGCAGAAATTAGGATAACCAGGCACCCGTGAGGATGGGGATGAGAGAGAGGCTTAGAGGAGCCTCTGTAGGGAGACCTCAGGATTCTGGATCCCTTTGCTCACCCTATGCATCCAGATAACTTTCGGGCTCACCCTGGCTGGAGACCTGAATGTGAGTCAGAGACCCTGGACTTGGGGTTCCCTGGGACACTTGATAGAGGGAGTGAGGCCAGAATTGAAAACAGAAGGATGAGGTGAAAGTGTGCATAGCAAACAGTGAGATGCTACTGCTTGTTTACTAGAAGGCTGGCAACTGATCAGGAGACCAGAGGATTCCTCTCTGAGGCTGGCTAGCCTCAAAGAGAGTACTTCTGCATACTGACACTGGGACCCCCCCCGCCGCCCCTCCTCCCCCGCCAGACATCTAAGTCACCTTGTTGATAACTCTGTTTTCAAACTTGTTTCACAAATTTCAGCTATCACACAGAGCATCCAATATCATTCTAGTACTTCATTTTTAAATATGAACGGACAGCCAAGGATTATCAAACATTGTAGGAGAGATGAAAAGCAGAGACTTAAAACAAATGAAGAGTAAAAAAGAACTTGGATAATACAGGCACTAGAAGAAACATTTAAAAATAATTCTATTATAGGGAAAAGAGTATTGTCTAGTTAACAGGAACAGTATTCTGTAAAAAGGCACATTTAGAAAATAAGAATGAGGCTTTAGACATAAAAATATGTCAACAGAAAATAAACCATTACAGTTGGTATTTAAAAGGAGGAAATCTCCCAGAAAATGGAACGAAAAGACAAGGAGATGGAAAACACAACAGAATGAATAGCAAAACTAGAGAATCAGTCCAGAACATACAGCAGCTAAATCACAGGCGTTCCAGAAATCAAAAATAAAGCGAGTAGATATGTGTAAATAATTTAAGAAACAATACAAGAACATTCCTAGAATTGAAGGACTAGATTAAAAGAGTCTCTAGATTCAGATAACTCTGTACAACCAGTAAAAAGCACATAATGAAAGTTCAGAATACTGGTAGTAAAGAAAATATTCCAAAAGCTCTAGAGAGAAAAAAACTAAGGATCAGGACTCAATGCTATCAGACTTAACACGAGAGCTAGAAGACAATACCACATTTCTGAGAGGAAATGACTTCCAACCTAGAATGCAACCCGGTTAAACAATCCGTCACTGTGAGGGCAGAACAAAGACGTTTAGGGTTATGTAAGAGCCTCTGAAATGTACTCCCACATACCTTTTCTGGAGGAGAAAGTGCTCCTACAAAAAGAGGGAGTAAACCAGGAAAGAAATGGTGATGGGATTCAGTTCCAACACAGGACAGGCAAAGGGAATCTCCAGCATGAGGGAGAAGGGGACTCCCAGAAAGTGTGAAGGCTTAGAGAACAAAGAATTCAGACTGAGGGAAGAAACCATCAAGAGATCTGTAGGTGAGTGTCACCAATAAAAAAAGAGGACTCAGAGATTGACATTTGTACTTGAATGTGCTGAGAAGAGATTTACGCTCCTGGGTAAGAGTTTGGGGAGGTTAGTTACAGAGAACTAAGCAAACCAAAGATTAGAACAAAAACCAACAAAAAATTCCAAAGAACTCCATGTAATTATTGACTCCTAGAAACCAAAGTTGGAGAAAACAAACAAACCTATATTAATTGTACTTCACTGGCTCAGATCTGAATATTTTAAAGTTATAATAATATAAATAATGACTCTAGATTTAATAAAAAATGACAGTATTGGTAAACTGGGCGGATGGAGGAGGGGAAATGTAGATGGTGAAGTTCTGAGATAGAGCTAGTCCTATCATCTATAGTTGAAAGTTCATGGGTAATATTGCTAGACAGACAAGAGCAGAGCAAGGCCAGGCACAGAAACTCACAGGGCAGAAAGCCCCGGATGCCCAGCAAGTGGGAAAACTGGGAAAACAAGAACCTCACCCCCAGGTAACCTATCCTCCCCTAGCATATCACTGCTCATGCGGTTTGGACCCCTGGTCTTTAATATCGATGGTCAGGTGGTTTAGATCCCCTGACCTTTTCCTCCTTAAAGATAACGTCGAGGCCTCAGTTGTATTTCAGCTCCAGGTCCAGAAAAGCAGCAAAACCTGACAAGTGACGCTGTGGCTGCCTCAGGACAAGCCTTGTTGATTAGTGACCCCCTGCCCTGCCACTGACCGGTCAGTAGAGCATACCCAGAAAACTGATGAATATTCTATTAAGACTCTTCCCTGAGACCTCCCCTAAGATTGCCACCTGCAAGAGAGAGATACATATGCTTAGGACAAAGGACCCCAGTGCGCACACTCCCCCAGGGGAGCACGTCGGCACCGTTCCCTTCCCCCTTCTTTTTTCTAAGGGACCCCAGGAGACTTGTAACCAGAGGAGCAATGGGCAGCGGCAGCTCGCCCCAGGCTAACCCCCGAACCTGTCTCCAGGACCCCCTTTCCTCTGACTTCTCAGTGAGACAAAGCAGCCCAGCCAGGCTTTCCTGTGGCTTCTTCTATGGCCTTCCTTGCTTCACTGTCCTAAGGATATTTTGGCTGCCATCATGGATACAATACCCTTTGGCTCAGTGTTGTGTAGCCCTTCCTTTTGGATATCTCCAACTCCTATCCCCTTTTCCTTAAATAAATTAAAATTTCTTTATTCACTGCCTGAGATGGCTATTTAGCCTGACTGTGCATCACCAATTTTACCCTTTCAAATGTGTTTTACAAAACACAAACAAAACCAGAATGAGCATGTTAGTGATACAGATGAAAATAACTACCAGATGAAACAGCTACATGAATTGTAACTAATTGCCCCAGGAGAGGACAATGGAGGGGGGGGAGTAGGCTGGAGACAGCTGTTTCTCATTATATGCCTTGTAGTACTCTGATTAAAAAACAACAACAGCCCTAACTGGTTTGGCTCAGTGGATAGAGCGTCAGCCTGCGGACTGAAGGGTCCCAGGTTCGATTCCGGTCAAGGGCATGTACCTTGGTTGTGGGCACATCCCCAGTGGGGACATGTGCAGGAGGCAGGTGATCGATGTTTCTCTCTCATCGATGTTTCTAACTCTCTATCTCTCTCCCTCCTCTCTGTAGAAAAATCAATAAAATATATTAAAAACAACAACTATGTGCATGTATTATTTTGATATAAATAAAACTTAAACCAAAAGATAACATGAGGTACTGTTTTTGAAGTGTCCTTATTCGGATAATGCCCTTACCCTAAGAACTTTTGCCATAGCTCCTCTAAGGTAAACCCAATCACCAAATCTTTTGTTATTATTCATGCCCAGCTGCCTGCCCTGACAGAGCAAGTATTCAGGTGTGTTTAATGACTGACGTGTGAGTCCTTGCTCTTTATTCTAGGGATTGGCAGTATTTGTGTGTTCCTTTGGGGCCAAGATGGTAGCAGAGCCAGGGACAGGTAAGGGGCCTCCCAGGTAAGCCCGCCTGTGCCCCTGACTTGGGCTCTTCATCCATCCTCTGAGGTTCAGGGCACTGACACCTCCCACTGCCCCCTGGGCTCCAGGCTAGAGGATCCCTCCCCAGAGTCCCTCCAGGACCCCAGCTCACGGTGACAGAGTCCGGCTCACAGTCCTGGGACAGCTCCAGGTCCAAGTCCTGCAAGATAAGCTTCACAGCAAAGCCCTCCGGGGCCTGGATGACAGTGGTACTCTCTTGGCCTTTGAGGTATGGCTCTGGGTACCCTGGAGAGGTCAGCTGCTGGGGTAGCTGCTGGGCCAAGAGCACAGAGCCCTGCGTGGGGCAAGCCTGGAGGACTCCCCAGAGAAGCAGCCACCACCTGTGAGGGGGTGAGGGCAAGATGAGGCCTGTGGAGTCATGAGGAGTGAGGGCAGACTATGCCAAGGGACTGAGGGACCAGTTAAGGCATTAGCAGCTGTGGCCTCAGCCCTTGAGGCCTGGCACCTCTGCCTGCTCCCTTATCACCCCTCTCTGCCCCAGTTCCTCCAGCCTCCTACTCAGCCTGAGTAGGAGTTTTCCACCATTGCTATCTCCGTGGAGAGTCTCATACACAGTTGGGGGCTACTTTCTGCTTCAGCAGATCCCACCCCCACCCTGGAAACTGAGGGAGACATGGTGGTACAAGTGAGGGACAGTTAGATGTTAGTTTCCTGGCTCAGAGCATCGGGCTTGATCACCCCCAGGAAAGGCTGCTAGAAGCTACGGGCAATTTCTAAGTCCCTCTGCATTAAGTGGCTCTGTGTGTGTGAGTGTGCGTGTGTGTGTACATACGCCCCTGGGTCCCACCCCATCCTTTTCCTCTCCTCCAGGCCTCTCCAAGGCCACACTCACATCATGCGTGCGCAGCTTATGGAGCTGGGGCTTCCCCAGAGATAATTCTCCACCTCTGAGACCAGGCATCTGGAATAGGCCATCTGGGACCTTAGAGAGGACTTGGCCCAGGTTAGGGAACAAGAGGTGGGGCTGGAGAGGGCCCTGAGGGGGAGGAGGGAGCTTTTACTGGAAATGGGTTGAGTAATTCTCTGGTTCCTTTTTCTAATTCTCTGGGTTGAGCGCCACCTACTGTATAACTTGGGGATAGCTCACCCACCACAACTTAAGGCAGTGGTTCTCAACCTTCCTAATGCCGCGACCCCTTAATACAGTTCCTCATGTCGTGGTGACCCCCAATTTCGTTGTTACAAATTGAACATAATTAAAGCATAGTGATTAATCCCAGAAACAATATGTACTTATATATGTGTTTTCCGATGGTCTTAGGCGACCCCTGTGAAAGGGTCTTTCGACCCCCAAAGGGGTCGCGACCCACAGGTTGAGACTAAACTGATGTGGGCTTCAGAGATCAGGGGTGGGAGGGCACTGACTCTGGGCTCTCTTGGACTATTTGTACAAAATAGTAAATGGTAGGGTGGTTCCTTGTGAGTTATGGCTGTTGCCTTTAATCGGCCATACCTTTCCCTCCCTGACTTTCCACCCATTGTTGAACTTGAAGTTTGTGACCTGTGACCTTGAGCTTCTCCCCCAAGCAAGTCTGGGGCCCTCGCTTAGGTAACCTTTTGCTCACAACCCCTGGAAGCTGCTCGTCCACCAGGGTCAAGTTGGCACAGGGCTGGGATTAGGCCCTGACTTCAGCTTCTTTAGGCAGATACCAGGGGCCGTGACTAGGCACAGAGGCCACGCTCCCTAGGAGACACTCACCCACAGCTTGATAGGGGGCCAGGAAGTCCTTGTGGAGGCCAGTGTTCCTGTCCTCAAAGGAGGCAGGTGTGTGGAAGGTCAGCAGCAGCCCCTACAACGGGGCTGTGATCTGAAAGGGAAGGGATCCTTTTAAATTTACTTTTCAATTACAGCTGGCATATAACATTATATTAGTTTCAGGTGTACAACATAGTGATTAGACATTTAGATATTTGTATACCTTATAAAGTGATCCCCCAATAAGTTTAGTACCCACCTGACATCATAATGATTACAATATTATTGACTATACAAGAGGCCCAGTGCACAAAATTTATGCATGGGTAGGGTCCCTAGGTATGGCTGGTGAGCAGGGATGATCCGCGGGGCAATCAGGAGGGGGGGCCCTGTTGGCACCCGGCTTGGCTGGCCTGGCACCACCCACTCGCCAGCCCCGTCCCCCGCTGATGCTGCGGGGTCAGGGCCTGTGGACTGGGGGGAGCTCCTGCATTGAGCATCTGCCCCCTGGTGGTCAATGCGCATCATAGTGACTGGTTGTTCCTGCAGTCATTCTGCCATTCGGTCGATTTGCATATTAGGGTTTATTATATAGGATTCCCTGTGCTGTATTTTACATCCCTTTGACCATTTTTATAATTGGCAATTTATACTTCTTAATCCTTTTCGCTTTTTGTCCATCCCCTCCACCCGCTCTCCCATCTGGCTGCCATCGGTTTGTTCTGTGCTCCTCTCTTTCCTTTTCCAGCTCTTCCCATAGGCTGGTTCCTATCTTCCCTGGTCGATCACCAAGCATGGATTCCTTCAGTTAATTCAAATAATTGCAGAATCTTAAATCTCTGATAAGAAATCAAAGAGAGTAATTGGATTTTATCTTTATGCTTGAAAGGAGGAAAAGAGAATCCCAAAGGTATTCTTCTGGTTTAACAGATAAGCAATAATCTCACAAGTATTTATGCTTTCTGGAAAGTAAAAGGTTAATTAAATTTTTTATGAGTAATAAATTATCAATGATCAATCAGAATTGCAGACTTTTAACATTTATAGACTATATGGTCATAAAGCAATCATCTTTGAAGTCTGAATGTCTTTAAAGATTCCTTTGTGTAAATCACACTCCAAAGGTGACATAAACATAACATGGAACAGGATTATGTAGTTTCATACCAGTGAGATTAAGTGTTTTTGGTTCTCCACTTTATCAGAATCAACTGTATGAGCAGAATCCTGTCTGATTTTCTGCAAGGCTAGGCTAACAGGGAGTACACTCTGTCCTCATCTTGCTCAGATTTATTTTGTGGGCATTTGTGAGGCTTGCTGTTTAAAACCAAGCACTAGAATTTCATTTCAGAGGATTTAGAGGGAACAAAGGGCAGGTCTGAGGAGCTTAAAATGTACAAAAGAAAATAAAAAGTTAACAAGTGTAAATATTGGACACATTAGGTCTCTCATCTACAATTGTAAGTCAGGTCCCCTCACTCCAGGCCAAGGGAGAGGGCTTGGCCTGGACAAGGCAACGGGGCTGTAGGTAGGGAAGGCTCTGGGGAGCAGGAGGAGCAGAAAGTTACTGGAAATACAGTGCTTATCAACACGACTTTAAATCTCCAGAGTAGACTCCACTGTGGTCTGGCTTGGGGATGACCAAAATATTGGAGCTGATTTTTTCCCCAATTGAGGCTTGACATTTCTGAGACCGGGAAAACCTCTTACCCACCAACAATCAGACTTAACTGAAGGAAAAGCTAAAGAAAGTTTTCTGGGGACCAGGCCAGCTGCCTATTTTTTGTTTTTAAATTCTCTTTCTCAAAGCCTCTATTTCCATTTCTTTATGCTCCTGGTTCTCTGCCTCTGCCTTCCTTTTCTAGGCCGGGTGCTCTGGGGAGAAGGGCAAAGGCCATGTGGCAGCACCAGGACCCGACCTCATTCAGATGAGGTGGGGGAGAAGGGAAGCCTTTGGTGAAGGCAGTAGAATTCACCTCCGTGGAATCTTCCTCAGTTTCTGGTCTGCACTGCTCCTCCTTGCCCTGAGTTGGAAACCTGGAGGTTCAGCTGGTGTTTGAGGTCGTGCCTTCTCATTGGATGTCAGAGCAGGTCAGGTGGCCGGCTGTGGACTGCTTGGCCCATGGTGTTTAGAAGTCCAGGTTGGGCCACTTCTTGTCAGTTGAGGGAGGAGTCAAATGAAACCCCAGAAGAGGAAACTTTCTATTGACACCTGCAAGTAAAAAGCCAGGACCTGCTGGAACAGCCAGCCCATGACCCAGAGGGGCCATAGCACGAGTCCACAGGGATCTGTTCTGGAAGGACGGGTGCTGAACCAACCACTAGATCATATGGGGTAGGGGCCCCATAGTATGATAATCCGTTGTTTCTCTGATTATGTTTCACTATAGCTACTCCTTCATCATCCAGCCATCTAAACACCTAGTAGCCCTAACAATACTGGTGACTTCTGCATTGATTGCCACCCACCCTGCCTCACTTTATTTGAATCACTCATCACTGATTCACTTTATTGCTGTTGACTCTGATAGGTCTAGCAAGGTCATTAGTACCATACCCACCAGGGTATTGGTTGGCTGCCTCCTGCATCCCCCCCATTGGGGATTGAACCTGCAAACCAGGCATGGGCCCCGAACCACAACCTCAGGGTTCATAGGTTGGTGATCAACCACTGAACCACACCGCTTTGGTGAGCAATAGAAACTCTAAGAAAGAACCAAATGTAAATTCTAGAACTGAATGATGCAGTATGTGAAATTTAAAAAAATTACTGGAAGGGCTTAATAGAAGAATGGAGATGGCAGAAGAAAGAGTCAGTGACCTTGAAGATAAATAGAAATTATTCAATCTGAAGAACAGAGGAAGGCATTTTTTTAAATGAGTAGAAACTCAGGAATAGTGGAACAATATATATATAAAAAAAAAACCCTCTAATATGCATGTCCTTGGAGTGCTAGAGGAGAGAAGAGAATGAGGCAGAAAAAATATTTGAAGAAATAATGGCTGGAAATTTCCCAGCTGTTGAAAAAGGCATCTATCTTCAGGTTTAAGAAGTTCAATAAATTCAAAGCAGAACTAAAAATAAACAAAAGAGCACACATGGGCCCATCAAAGTCACATTGCTGGAAACTAAAGATAAAAAGAAAATCTTGAAGGCATCCAGAGAAAAAGAACACATCGCAATCACAGAACCACATTTTCAATGTCACTGCTTTCTCATCAAAACCAGCACAGACCAGAAAGAAGTGGAACAACTTCTTCAAAACATTGGAGGGAAAAAGCGTCAACTCAGTGTTGCTTTTCCAGCAAAAATATTCTTCAAGAAAGAAGATGAAATAAAAGCATCTTCAGATAAAAAGAAAACTTAGAAAACTTGTCATCAGCAGACCTACATTAAGAAAGACGCTAAACTTCTTCAGGCTGAAGGGAAAGAAATCCAGATGGAAGAACAGAGTTGCTAGATGAATAAAGAGAAATGGTAAATTTCTGGGTAAGTATAAAATATATATTTTTCTTAATATCTTTAAAATACATATGCCTGTTTAAAGCAAAAATTATAACATTGCATTGCGAACTTTATAACATGTGTAGATTTAATATGCATGGAAACCATAGCATAAAGGATGAGGGGAGACTTACTAGTATGTGGTAACGAAGTTTCGTCATTCAACAGTAAGTCTAAAAAGACTAAAAAAGTGAAGGATGCAGTTCTCTTTAGAGCAGTGGTTTTCTTTTCTTTTCTTTTTTTTAAATTCTTTATTAGTTAAGGTATTACAAATGTGTCCTCATCCACCCCATTAAACCCCCATCCTCCCCCCCCCCCCCCACTCATGCTCTCATCCCCCTGTTGTCCATGTCCATTGGTTTGGCTTATATACATGCATACAAGCCCTTTGGTTGATCAGAGCAGTGGTTTTCTATTTGTGGTCTGGGGAACGCTGGGGATCCCTGAGATCCTTTGAAGGGGATTATGGGGCCAAAATTATTTTCATAACAATACTAAGATGTTATTTGCTGTTTTCTCTCTCTTTCTCTCATGAATGTACCAGGGCGTGACCAGAGGCTACGCAAGGTATGTCAGCATCGTCCCTTCACAACTAATGGAACATGTGCTTATTTATCCTTACATTTTAAATTTTTCTCAGTTTTAATGTTTTATGCAGTGAATACGAATAGATACAACCCACACAGACAAGGGCTTTTTGGGGTTCTCAATAATTTTTAAGGGTATAAAGCTTGAGTCCAACTGCCCTAGAGTGATCACTAAAAAAGAAAAATTAAAAAAAGAAAGGCAAAAACGTATAGCTAAAGGCCAATAGATAAATTGAAATGGAATTCTGGACCCTAAATGGGATTAATTTGGGGGACTTGTTGCTAAAAGGGTGACCTATTAGAAGTTGTCCTGGTTTATCTGAGACTGAGGGGTTTCCTGGGACACAGGGCTTTCAATCCTAAAACTGGTTCGGTTCCAGGCAAACCCAGACAGTGGTTATTTCTAGTCCTTCAATCATCTATTTTGTTCCCCTTTCCCTTAGCTAATGTGAGCCCATGATGAGCCAAGGCTACATCTGCTCTGCATGGGTCCCCAGATATAGGTTAAGAGGATTGAATCAAAGAAATAAAGGGAGCAATCTACAAAACTGTGAGTACACAATGTTCGCAAAAATAGAAACACGAGAACAATCTAAAACAACTGTGACCGGCCCAGCAGCATGGATCAGTAGTTGAGCATCAACCGATGAACCAGGAAGTCAAGGTTTGATTTCCGATCAGGGCATATGCCCGGGTTGTGAGCTCATTCCCCAGTGTGGGTGTGCAGGAAGCAGCAGATCAATGATTCACTCTCATCGTTGATGTTTCTATCTCTCTCTCCCTCTCGCTTCTTCTCTGAAATCAATAAAAATATATTTTAAAAAGTAAAGAAATAAAACAACTGTGACCATATTAGAGTATAAGGCTATGGGTGACTTAAAAAATGTTTCTCTGTTTAGTGAAATTTATGTGATGTTATTAAATCACTTTAATAATTATAAAATAAATGTATTTAAAATGATAATTGTGACCAGATGGCCCCTTCTAAGACAAACAAGATTAAAAGGATGAGATCCTGGATCCTGAAGATGATGCTAAGACCCTGGCTCCAGTGGCATCTTTAGGCCGTGTGATCAATGAAGAACTTTTTGCTCTTGGATATAAGCTTAGGCCAGGCATGATTCTTTCAACCTTGGGGAGCTCATGTTTAAGACACCTCATGTCCCACTGTCTCAACTCTTCCCCTCCATTGGAATTTGTTTCTCATTGACTGAGAAGGGGCAAAGGGCAGAAGCAGGGAGAAGGGACAGTCTTCAAAGTTGTGATGTGGGGGTTGGGGAGGATGGAGAGAAAGCCGAAGAAGTCCATGGGTGTGAGTGTAAGAAGTGCATAAACAGGTTTTCAGAATTTGGATTGTTATTTTTGAAATTCCTGCTGGTGCTGCCACCTGCTGTCCTGAATAGGGAAGGACTTCCTGTGGCAAATGTCTGACTTTTACCGGTTGCTCTATACTATTGTCTTTTAATATCTAATAAGTACAATATGAACTGTTCTGATCATTTCACCCTCCCTTACGGTAATGGACATACTAAGCTGCCGGCTGGGTGGTTTTTGATATGTGGGGTAACTATTTATTCATATATCCCTGCCAGCAGGACTGGGAGGCCTTGTTCCTTAGGACAACTGACTGTCTTTATGCCCCGGAAACATTACAGGGTTCGAACCAAAAGGGATCTTCTCACAGCCGTGGCACTGGACTGCAACGGCGATCTCCAACTGGGAGTCCTGCTGAATATATTGCTTTAACATTTTTGTTATGCTGGTAATGGTAGGCTCCCTTAAGGTAAAAGTGGCCCAGCTGACTGGTAGCAAAGTAAAAGCCCCGAATGCCACTTCTAATAACTACAATACCTGGGATAAATCAAGAGCTGAGCCAGGTCAGGGAGGCAATTCTAGAGAATCAGGCTTCATTTTTCTCCCGTTTATTTTTGTAGCCTGATTGCTTGCTGCTGCATTCAATGTCTTCCTCATTTTAGATCCTGCATTCCCTATATTCCATCCCTGCCAACTGCTTTCAAGGCAGAAGCCAATGCAGTCCAGCAGGATGAGACTTTTCACTTAAAACTAATCTCATAGATATGAGATGATAGAAATAGTAGTGAGGAATGTCAGGGGCAGAAATGGAATAGTGGGGATGCTATAATTATAAGAAATATTAATCATGCTCATGTGATTGTTCTAGTGTGATTAGAGAAAACGTAGTTGAGAGTTGTACGCCCCAGGACATGCGAGCCAACATCGGAATGCAGTCCAACCTCCTTTCCTGGGAACTGCCTGTCATTATGAAAAGATTAACAACCTTGTTGCTGAAACAATCTAGTCCCGGAGGCACTAGCTCTTTGCCCGCCCTTTTCGACCCCCAGCCCCTATTGCTTGTAATCTGGTCCCAGAGGCACCTGGAGGCACCTGCTCGCCATGACCACCTCCACCACCCCTCCCCACCCCCAGCCCGCATTGTCTGCAACCTGTAACCATTATACCTTGCCTACTTTCCCATGCCTGTAATTCTTACTTTCCCATGTAATCTTTGTCCTTCTACCCAAAATAAGCAGCTGGCTTATGGGGAAGGGGAAAACAGATTTTTGTGGATGACCTACTGCTCTTCCATACCGCCAGCATTATTGGAATAAATACTCATACATGATTCAACCCTGTCTCTGCTTAATTGGCTCAAATAGTGACAGGCAATTCCAACCCATTGGTTGTCCGGTTTCAGTTTGATTGGGGCTGGAGGGGCTGCTTCCAAGATGGCTGGCTCACAGGTCTGTGGGCAGGGGCCTCAGTTCCTGGACACACAGCCCTCTTCATTGGACACTTGCGTGTCCTGATGACATGACAGCTGACTTTCCCCAGAGTAATCTAAGATAGAACAAGACTGAGGCCAAAGTTCTTTTTAAAAACATTTTTATTTAATTCTGGGAAGAATGCTTAACATGAGATATATCTTTTTTAAAAATATATTTTTATTGATTTCAGAGAGAAGGGAGAGGGAGAGAGAGATTGAAACATCAGTGATGAGAGATAATCATTGATTGGCTGCCTCCTGCACACCCTCTACTGGGGATCAAGCCTGCCATCCTGGCATGTGCCCTTGACCGGAATCGAACCCGGGACCCTTCAGTCTGCAGGCCGACCCTCTATCCATTGAGCCAAACTGGATAGGGCGAGATCTATCTTCTTAACAAATTTTAAGCTATAGACACAACATTGAACAGAAAGTCTGAAATGTCTTTTATAACCTAGCCTTGGACGTGACATAGTATCACTTCATAGTATCATCATATTCAGTTGGTCACACATACCAACCCTGATACAGTATGGGAGGGGACGACACACGGATGAAAATGTCATGGAGCAGGGATCCCTGGGGCCATCTCAGAGGCTGGCTATCACTGAAGTAGATATGTCATTTTAGTACAATAAATGCAGAAGGTCAGTGGGCAGGATGTTATTTTTGCCAGGTAGGATTGTAGTTCAGATGGATTAACCTGAAGCCACAGTGCCCTTGGGGACACTGGCCCTCTCTCTCCTCTTCCACCCTAAGATCTGAAGGGCCCCTTCACCCATCACCATCAAGGAATAGGGCTGCACAGATAAAACAATGACTTACAGCAAACAAAACACAAGAGGAGGTGGGGCTTTGCGGGGGTGTGTGTGTGGCGGGGGATAGGAAAGGCTACAAACTACCACGAAGGGGATGGGCAGGAAGGAGAAGGCGAGGGGTAACCTTAGTGAGTCCAGAGAATCTAGGACTGTGGTCTCACACCAGCAGATTGTCCAAAGGGCAAGTTCAGAGGCTGGAGGTTCCACTTCCAAATCTCCCATCCCTGGGGCTTTGGGTGGACTTTGAAACCTAAAGTCAAGTCCTTCAGTAAAAGATTCCTTAACCATACTGCGTATGTGCCTTGCTTGCTAATAGCAAGGCTGTTCTGCTGTATCCTGCACCATCCCTCCCTTTCACATGAGTTTATAGGTGAAGCTGCATTTGTATCCTATATAATAAAAGCCTAATATGCTAAGTGTCTGGTCATCCGGTTGTTCGTTCAACCAATCAAAGAGGCTGCTCAACCGCTCGCTATGACGTGCACTGACCACCAGGGGACAGACAGTTGACCTGTTGACTAGTTGCTATGATGTGTACTGACCACCAGGTGGCAGATGCTCTGACCAATAGGTTAACTTGCTGCTGGGGTCTGGCCAATCGGGACTGAGCGAGACAGGCCGGACATGCCCTGGAGGCCTCCTGCTGTCCCTCCTCAGTTGGCCAGCCTCCATGTCCCTCCCCCGCCCTGATTGTGTACCCTTGGGGTCCCTCAGTCTGGCCTGTGCCCTCTCATAATCCAGGACCCCTCGGGGGATGAGGGACTCCACTGGTGCACGCATTTGTGCACTGGGCCTCTATTTTTAGATAATCAACTTGGTATATTATTCTCTGCTTTAGTTTCCTTTGTTTCTGCCAAGACTTTAATAAATCCTTATTCAAATGGTGCCCCCTTGTTCCATCTGTGCTACTCAGAAAGAAAGTAGTAGGAACGAGAGGTGCACCCTTATCCCATCTGTGCTATTCAGAAAAAAAGTGGGAAAGGGAAGGGAGAGGTGAGCAGTAGCGTTGGTGAAGGGAGCCACCTGCCGGAGGAGGAGTGCTTTGCAATCCAGCTGCCCTTTTCTGTGTTGAGACTGTATCTCCAACAGGGAGCTGGAAGGATAAGCTTTATTAAGCAAGACAATAGTTTCCTTACAGCTGGGTCAAGGACAGGCAGCCAGGGTTTTCTGAAAATAGCCGGGAAGGAGAGGAGATGGGAGTGAAAGACAAGAGAGTAGATCATTCACAGACATCAAAGCAGAGCAGACCAGTCCTGTGAGGAACCAAAGTCACACAGAGTGAAAGATTTTGCCCAAGATCACGGTGACTCCTCAAGCAGTGCTTTTAGCTCTGCCCAGCCCCTCTGCCTGAGTCAATGAATACCCTCAGCTGTTGTCACATGCATGAAGCAAAGAGAAAAGAAGGTGCTGGTTCTCAGCAGTCTTCTAGAACAGTGGATGGAAAGCCACACTGACAATACACACACCTGTCCCCACACACCTTACATAGAAGAGACGTGTGTGAGACAGATGCATGATGGTCACACACACTGGTATAAAAGGAAAACTGTGCAGTTGGTACTCAAGTCAACCCTCTGCATACTGGGTCATGTCCAGGGTAGGGAGCGAGGGCTGGTCAGGTCCAAACGGAGGTACGATTGGAAGGATTGCTGGGGCTTCGTTAGGGTAGAAAGATGACAGGAGATATGCTGCAGGGGATCAGGGGTAGGAGGCTGGAGGAGTCTCAGGCAAGAGGAAAGCATGAGGAAAACACCCACCAGGGCAGGGCTGAGGGTGCTGGCATCCATGGGGAAGAAGGGTAAGGAGCCAGAACAGGTCGAGGGAAAGTGGCTGCACCTGCAGCTGGTAACTAGAGAAGTCTGGGGCCTCGACACAGCCCCTGCCATGGTGGGGTCCAGCCCCTTGAATGGTATAGCTTCAGTGTGTACTGTGGGGGAGGAGTCCAAGAGGAACTCAGGTGGGGGTGGAGCCTAATGGCTCTGCACAGCTGACTCCATAGGGGCTCTGTAGGGTGGTGCAGTCTGGGACAACACACTTGTCCTTCTGGGGGTAAGGGGACTATGGGATACAGTGAGAGATTCTGGTTCTGAAGCTTTAGAGGGAGGCAACGACTCCCTTCCATCCCTATCACCTCCAGTCACGGTGAGGGCTGAACCATCTCTCAATCCTTGGTATCAGTCAGTTATACTTGGGTATGAATATAACCCACTGTGTGACCTCAGAGGCATGAGCCTTCTTTAACATTAACTGTAGAATACAAGGCTTTGCTTCCAGTTAAGGGGATTTCAATCATCGAGTTAAGAGGAAGGAGATAGTAAAAGTAATAACAGCCAACTTCATCGATGCTTACTCGATTCCAGGTCGCATGCTGAGCAATTTTACATGGAATATTCCTGGGAGGAAGGAGGAACCCTTGCAATTGCCTTGCATGACCAGCAAATGTGGTTTTACCATAGGTTAGTGGCTTGTATATTCTCACGCCACTAGTAAGAGGTGGTAGTTTGACACTAGAGCCTGGTCACCTGATCACTGTGTAAAACTCCCTCCCAATTAATGGGCTCCTGCACAGAGCCCATTAATTTGCCCATTTGGCCTCCTCATCCTTTCCCCTCCTGTTGTACCTGCAAGGTCTCCCCCATCCTCAACTGTCCATACATGTCACAGCCTTGGGGTGGCTCGAGGTCAGTGCTCAGGGAACCTGACGGCATGGGTGTTATCTTGATTGAGAGGGGAAAGTTGGGAGAGATGTCCCAGAGAGCTGGGTGTGGGTACTGGAGGTCGTCCCGAGGCTGGGCAGGAGCAGGGAACTCCAGAGGGAAGAGCAGCCTGTGGAAGGGCAGGAAGGAGGGGAGGGGAGGACCAGGCCACAGCCAGGGGCAGCCCCCACCCTCATTTTTATCCTCAGCCACATCAGGGACTGCTGGCCTCTTACTGACCTTTGGTTATTTAAGCCTAAACCAGGTAGGGTTCTTGCCTCTTAGGGGATAGCATTTGGGTTGGGAAAAGGGGTCAATGTGGACAGGCCTGTGCTCTTTGTTGGGATCCTAGGATTTGCAGTGGCCTCCAAGGGTTTCCAGGGTCAGCCTCCTGGCCAGGATGGCCTTTGTGATTTAGGGTTGAGGGATTTCCTGCTTCTGCCTGAGCTCCCTGGGCATGTGGGCTGGTGGGGGGTGGGGAGGGGGTCAGCTAGGGAGGGGTACACGGCTAGACTTTGCTGCTCCTGCCTCCTCTTGGGCCTCTTTCCAGAACATGGAGCCTGAGTCCTTGGGCAGCATGTGGTCCTCTGCTTCAGAGGACACACACCTGCTCCTGTCCTCCTGCCCATGTTGGCCAGTTCCTTCTGAGCAGAAGTGTCTGGATTGACCTAAAGCAGCGGTTCTCAACCTGTGCGTCGCGACCCCTTTGGCGGTCGAACGACCCTTTCACAGCAGTCGCCTAAGACCATCTTGCATATCAGATATTTACATTATGATTCATAACAGTAGCAACATTACAGCTATGAAGTAGCAACGAAAATAATTTTATGGTTGGGTCACAACATGAGGAACTGTATTTAAAAGGCCAGAAGGTTGAGAACCACTGACCTAAAGGATCATTTGGCATTCAGGCAAGAAAGTTGTTGGTAACTATATGATACTATCTCAGCTGTGTGGAGTGGAAGTGGGATAGGGGCCTGGCATAGGGCTGGTTTAGATGGGTGCCAGCCCTTATCTCAGATGGAAATAAACATCTTGGATTCCTGATCATTTCCCTGGGACCAAAGACTCTGGTAAAAAAAAAAAAAAAAAATCAAAGTCTGTCTCAGGACCCACCCTGTGTTCCCCTGGAAGGGCTGGGGTGAGACCCACCTTGGTACCCACCCATCCATCTATGGCTGTTGCCTCCTCCCCTGTCTTTTCCTTACTCACATGTTGGTGTTCCTGGTGACGATCTTTTCTATCAGAATGAATGGAGCAGCCTGATTTGAAGGAGGGTAGGGGTATTGTCAGAGTGAGTATGCAGATTGGAAAGTCCGCTGTGTGTGTGTGTGTCCAGTGGGGAATGGAATATCCAGGAAGGTGGCAGAGAAGGGAGGACAACTTGGTGGGTCTTTGGCTCCCACTGTGATGAGAAGCGCCCCCTGCTGCCCATAGGGGGAAACAGCAGCAGAGCTCTTAGTAGGTCCCGGCTCCCACCCCCTTGTAAATGGCTCTGAAGCTGCTCAGTCCTCCTCTGGTTGCTTGTGTTCCTTTGCGGGTCTTCAGGCCTCTGGCTCCTGGAGGGGTGGGATCGAGTGGAGGATGAGGATACTCATGTCACAGGAGTTTTGGGGGATTGAGGCTGCTTTTATTTGGGCCTGCTAGTCACCACGGAGGCCTCCAAGGTTCTGGGTCAGGCTCTCTGTCAAGACTCCAGTGAGGGGCACTGAACTAACATAAAGAGCACAGAGAACAGTCTTTTGGGGAGAGGCTTGGGTATGCACTGTGAACGCAGAGTGGCTGGGACACTGCGGTGACCTGGTGACTTAGGTAATGGGTGAATACACATGGAGCATCATCCTCCAGCTTCTCTCTACTTTGGAAAGGGATCAAGGGAAGGCCCAGGAGTCCTCGGAGCTTCTGCTGGGCATCTCGTCTGAGAAGAGGCTCTCTCTCCTCCCCACTTGGCCAGGGGACTCTGCAGAGAGTCTGGGTAAGGAATAAGCTTTCCAGTTCTCCTCTGAGTTCTTTTCTTGCTCTTTTCCAAATGCATCCCAGAGTGTGTGGTAGGGTCAGTGTTGCAAGCATAGTTCTTCTGGCCGTAGCCCCAGTGACTGTCCTGAATGTGTGTGGGGCAGAGCCGTTACAGGGGGCAGAAGTGTTCATCTAATGAGCACAAGCCAGGGACTTTCCAACAATTTTCCCTCCCCACCCCAGCCAGACTCTGTCCCCACCCCACACTGAGCCCTCTTCTTTCTGACTCTTGTCCTACAGTACTTTTATTCTGAAAGAACCAAGGCCACTGGCGGTAGGGAGGTGCTAGAGGTTAGAGCTGGCCATGACCATGAATAGGGCCTATCCTCGGGGCTGTTTTCCAGGGCAGTGATTCCAGAACCCTAAGAGAGGGGCCTTGGTGTTCTCAGTTCTCCCTCTTATCCTCTGCCCCCATTTTTGTTGGCCTTTAAGCAGAGGGTCTCTATAGCCAGGCCTATTGGTCTTTCTCTTACTGTTGCCTTCACACCTCCATGATCCTCATCTTTGTAGCCCTTGGCCTTATATCTTCCATCTGTTTCCCTTTTCAGGCCTTCTTGCTGCCTATCCTTCTCAAAGTAGACATGGAGGCCAGGCCACTATTTAGAAGCTTCTCAACTTCCTCCCAGTACTGCACAAAGGGTCTTACCCAGTCACCTCCTTCTTCCCCAACATGTAGGATGAAAGTGTACCATAGCCAGGATGCATTCAGATGTTGGTAAACTGAACTCTGTTCAGTGCCTTGGGCCTGGTACTGTTGAGCATAAGAGGCTTTTTCCAAAATAAGGACAAGGACATAGACAAAAAGACTCTTAAATTCTTGAACCCCAGTCACAGTTTTCCAAAAGGTCCTCCAGGATAGACTTTTCACTAACCCTCAAATGCTCAACACTTAGTCCTTTCTTAGATGGAAGATAAAGAGAGTTGAGATTGGTTATTCTCTAGCATCATTTCCTCTTTGCCCGTTTCTTTCATCCAGGAGGCCAGACCGTGAACTGGATATAAGGTCACTATTGGGCAGTGGAGTGTGAGAAAGAAAGGACTTTGGCCTTAGGGGCTGCAAGTTATAGATTAACGTGGGGAGGGCTGAGGAGGGACTCAGCGGGAGGGTAAGGGCCTGAGAAAGGGACTGATGACCTGGGACAATCTAGACTTGAAGGTGCACAAACAAGAGGAGTCTGGGGACTGGTGCTGTCTGGAGTGGCCTTCAGCTCCTCTCTGGCTATTTGACCTTCCTGAAGACCTGCTTGCATACTGCATCCCTTGCGGTCAGTTCCTGGGGATAAAGAAGGAAAGTTGAGGAAAACGAATGTTCTTGCCAGCTGGAGCTCCTTTCTCAAGGTCCTTGACCTCCATTTAATCCTCAGGATACATCAACTAGAGCATTTGATGCATGAGGAATTGTATCATTGTCCAGACCTTCAACTTTTCAACCCAGAGGAAGGAAGGTAGCTGGGTCAGGGAATGTGAAATGGTGAAGTCTCCATCTCTCCAGTTTTGATTTATGGACATTCACTTGACTTGTAGCCAGGGCCCCACCTCGACCACTCTACTTTTTCCTCTCTCGACTCTCCCCAGAGCTTTTTTGAAAAAAATTTTTTATATGCTTTTGTTCCCCAGTGCTATTGTCCCCCTGTCTTGGTTGTTTTCTTTGGAGAGGGGGCAGGAGATAGAGTAGTAGAGTTATCTGATTTGGGCAAAGACATGAATCCTAGCTGGAGGCCCCTCTCCAGACATGCCCATTTGGGTTCCTTTTCCCAGACCTCACCCAGCTTACCAGGTGCAGCATCTCTCCTTCCAGCCAGTGCCTCCAGCCTCGGTTAGGCACCTCCCCTTTCTGCACACAGACCAGCTGCTCCTCCTCCCAGGTTACTATGGTCTACAGGCAAGGCAGGAGTAAAGGAAGACTGAGGGGCAGTTCCACTCTGGCTGGGCTGTCCCCTTTTACACCACAGCAGACACTGTCTTGCTCCAGCCCCTTCACTCTGAGTGAGAAGGCTGCTCTGATTTAGGACCCCTGCCCCCCACTCTTAAAGGCCACTGAGGGGGGCCCACAGTTTGTCTACTGTAGGGCAGAGTAGGGAGGGAGCAGGATAACCAGGGTGAAATTGGGGAGTGGGTGATGAAGAAAGGAGACTTTGTCCTCTGGATACTTCTGGTCAACCTGGAGGGGCCTTTGGGAAAGAAGAGATAGGTTGGGAGGTCCATCAGGGAATCTCTTTCTCAGTTTCAAGGACAGCTGAAGCTTTCCTGAGAATGAAGGATTAAGCTCCCAGAGTCAGAGCTGGGTGGGCCTGGGCATTCCAATCAAAACTTATACGATAGATCCTGCTAAACAGGGAGCTCAGAGTCTTGATCAGTAAATAGATATTTATGATACCAGGCAAGACTGTTGAGGATGGGAGTGAGGAGCTAAATCTTCAAGGAAGTGAGGAGTTAATTAGATTGGAGCTAATGGGAAATTTTTAGCAAGGAAAGTAACAGCACAGAAGTAAGAAAGAGGGAAAACAGTTCTGAGGGGCTGTAACCTAGTGTGTATGTGGGAAGGACACTAGTGTGCTGTGTGAAGCATATGACCTTACCTGGAGCGTAGAAGATTGTCATGGAAAGGGTTTGATTAAGGGAGTGACATGGTCACTTTTACATGTTAGATCCTTATGGCTACAGTACACAGAGTGGTTTAAAGAAGGGTTAAGATTGAGGGCTAATTTCAGGTGCCAGGTGAGAAATGAGGGCCTGAGTTAGGCTGGGGATAGTGAGAAAGGCTAGGGAGGAACAGAGGAGAGCCATGTGAAACAGCAATGTTCAGTAGAAATATAATGGGAATGTAAGCCACATATATAATTGAAAGAGTTCTAGTAGCTACATTAGAAAAGTAAAAAGCAACAGGGAACTAGGATCTGCAAAGGAGACCAAAAGGAATATGTAAGAGGCAGAAAGAAATGCTGGAGAGTGAAGTTATAGAGGCTAAGGGAAAAAAGACTGTGGTGATGAATAGGGTCAAAGGCTAGAGGGTAAGCAAATATTTGCTCATTGGCCTGAGGGTGACCTGCTCTTTTGGTCCTGTTGACTGGTGATAAGATCCCACAGGGAGAGAGTGGGAGGGGGAGCACCAGGACCCTGTAATCCTGGGGACTCCACAGCATGCTGTGGTGGTCATTTCCCCTGGCTCTGGCTGGGTGAGGTCATTTTGCTTTGCCCCGAATTATTAAGAAGCACCTACTTGCTCATCCACATCCCCTCCCCCACCCCAAACCTGAGGAAAGGTACCTGGCATTTTCGTCCATCCACCATCCTTAGGTCCTCCTCAAACTCAACTCCCACCTCGAATTCTAGAACGTAGTTGCGAAAGGTGCTGAGGGTCTTCACTGTCATGTGGTTGCCCTGATGGTCAATCTCCTTGTCTGGCTTGAGTAGCAGCGCTATCTTCCGCAGAGCCATGTTGATGTCTGTGGGGATTATCTCTTAGCCGGTGTCCTCTTAGCCAGCCAGCCAGGGTTCCCCCACCTGCAGCAGCCCCTTGGGGGCTGTGGACTATATTGATTTACTCCCTCCTAGAAACACTCCTAGAGATGGATCCCAAGAGAGGTGCCAGCTCCTGAGCCTTTCCACAGGGTCCAACCCCAGCATTCCCCCTTCTCAATGGGATGGAGAGGCAGGAAGGTAGAGGGAAAAGGGGGAGTGAGAGGGGTCTGGGAGGGGTGAGGCCATTACTTAAGGCTTGCAGGTAGTCCTCCATGTTCTTCTGTGAGACAAAGCAGTAGTAGCCGGTGAGGTTGGGAGGCATTGTCCGGGCTGGCCAAGATGGAGATGGAGATCTTAGGAGACTATAAGAGACAGGGTGAGGAGGGAGGGGTGTTGTCTGGCAGGAGAGACTCCCGCCAGGCCTCCACACACAGAGACAGGCTTGTGTAAAGGTCTATGCTTACCAGGGTTTTTATAGCGCCGGGGCTCTGTTGCAATAAGAGCTCCTACCAGACCTCCTCCCTCCCCTCATGATGAGTTTGGGGTGGTGTTTGCTGCCTGAAGGAGGGGCAGGGACTTGGCAAGGTCATGCTGGACCTCGGCTTTTCCTGAGGAAGGAACCTGGAGCAGGATCTGGGGCTGTCAGTCATCCAAGACTTGAGCCTTTCCAAAGGTCAGCTTGGCTTCCAGCCCATTTGTGGGAGGCTTGGGAACCATTCCAGAGCCCTGGGGAGATGGTGTCCCCCTGGGAGGAGCTGGTCTTGCTGTGTGGAGTGTGGGCTCTTCCAGGCTTACCCAGGGATGAGTTCCAACAATATTCTGAGATCCTGGGGCTGAGTTGGGGATCCTGAAAAGTATGAGGGGAGAAGGTGGGGGAAGGAGGAGGACAGCCAGCTGACCACGAGCCAAAGTGAAGCAAATCCTATCGTGCTGGCCCCCACAACTCCTCTAGACAGCTCCCCTAGCTGCATTCCAGGCTCTGTCCTGTAAGACCATTGGGAAGGAGGTGGAGAAACTGCCCTTCCTAAGCACAGAGGGGGCGGTGGGCAGCCTGATGAGGTGTTGAGTTCAGAGTCCAGAGCGGAAGTCAGTGAGGGAGGAGGTTGGTTGGCTATTCTGGAGAATTTTACACGCTTTGGCCTGGGACCCAGAGGTTTCCTTCTCCCTGTGGAGTCATTGATGATACATACGCCCCCGGCCCCCCCCTACCCCCCAGTCCCTCAGCCCTCAGACGGCCCAAGCTCACCAGTATTCCCATGGTGGAGGGAGGTGTGCCTCAATTATTTTGTGCCCCACCCCCCGCCCCCAACCTACCAACTTCTCTGGCTTCAGAATCAATGGGATGATTTATTATGGTTTAAGGTGGGGAATTCGGGGAGAGGAAGGCAGGGAGGGTAGGCAGTGGGGAAAATTACACCTGGTGGTGGACTGCCTCGACAGGTGTGTGCGTGTGTGTGCGTGCGCGGCACAAAAACCTCACTTTTCCTTCAGTTTCTTCAGTTCCAAAGCCCTTTCCACCGCCCTGCTGACCGCCCCGTGTTTTCCTGAGAGACCTGGGGCTGGGAACTGAAATGCCAGGATCTTTCGGGTTCAGGCTGTGGGTTTTACTTCATGGTTCCCAGGAGGCACGCAGCAGGGACTTGCTGATGGAATGGACTGTGTAAAGAGGTTAATGCAGAGTTGGGGGGGGGGGGGGTGACGCGGTACTGCTCCTCCTCGCCTCCCTCAGGTCTCCGTTGACGTCTTGGTTCCCCACCCCCGAGCTTCTAGCTTCTAGCTTCTCCCGAGGTCCGTCTTATTTCCCACCCCCTCCACGGCTTTCCAGCTTCCTCTCCAGCCCCCGCAGTTCCCTGGCTCCCGCAAATTGCAATCCAGGGGGGAAAAGCCCTAAAAGCATTCTCCCGCCCCAGCTCCCCGGTCCCATTGGTTCCCTCCCCCGCTGCAGCACCTGGCCCTCCCAGTCAACCGATTGGCCCATGGCCTCATCAATCTTCGTCTGGCTGTGCTTACGTCATCCTGCAGTAGAGGGGATGGGAATGAGAGAGAGCGAAAGAGCGAGGAAGCCGGGCTGGAGAGCATACGAGAAGCCACTGCAAGTCCCCCACCTCCGCCACCCAGGTTGGGGTCTGCCCAGGTCTGCTCTATGGACTAGTGTGGGCGGCAGGCTCCTTCTGTCTCTGCCCTGCTGCCCTCTCTCTTCCCTCCCCTCCTTGGAGGTCCCCTGCATCCCTCCCTCAAGGAGCAGTAAGTGGGCTTGAGGCTCCCAGGGGAGAGCAATCGCCTGGCCCTGCCCTGCCCTTTACCACACCACACCATGACCCTCCTGCTGCTGCCCCTCTTGCTGGCCTCCCTTCTTCCCTCCAGCTCCTGTAACAAAGGTGAGTGAGGTGGGGGGTGGGGGCACTAAAAGAGGGGTTTCAGGAAGAACATTGGGGGGTAGGGGTGAGCAGGAGCCATGAGGCTCTCTGGCACATGACAGGTGTCAGTTCTTCCCACCATTCCCCTTCCCATCCATTTTCTCAGATGCACCCCTTCTCCTTTCCTTTGAAACATCCCCCCCACCCCCCCGCCACCACATCCTCCTGTCTGGTCCATCTTTATCCATAGGCTTCTTTGGTCCCGTTTGGTCCCTATTCCCATCTTGGGGTTTCTGTCTCCCTGTCTCCCAATTTCTCTCTGTTGGAGATATTTCATGTCTCGGAAGGACTTGCCTGAGGGTCATTATACATCTCCGGGTGGTTCTCCATTTTCACTGGGGTGTGCGTGCACTAAGGGTGTGTGGCAGATCCATCTGGTTCATCTCCATCCCATCCTGGGGAGAAACTGTTCCTTGCGGCTCAGCAATTCGGAGCACGTATGTTTTGGCGTGTTCCTCTGCATCTATACCCTTATGCCTGCATGCAGCTGGGTTGTGGGTTACCAGAGCTGCCCTCTCTGGCAGACAGCAGATAAATTCAGCTGGGTGAGGCCCACAGAGGGACCAAGAGGGAGGGAAGAAGGGAAGGGGTGGAGGAAGAGGGCTCAGGTAGGTGGAGAAAGGCAGGAAAGGGCAGAAGTGGGTGTGTGGGGGAGCTGAATGAGTGCTGAGAGGGAAAGCTGAGAAGGAGAAGGGAGATGAGGCGTGGGAGGGGAATAAGAAGGGGTTGGAAAGGGTAAAAGTGGAGGCAAAAAAAAGGGGGAGAGAGGAATGAAAGGGAAATCAGGAAGAACGGAGGAGAAGAGGGGGAGGGGAGAGTCAAGGAAGGAAAAGACAGGGAGCCTAGGAGTGAGTGAAAGGAGATGCACACAAGGAGAGAGCTGGTGGCCAAGAGGAGAGGAGCAGGGTCAGGGTTGAGCTGTGAAGAGGGTGCCCAGTGCGGACCTTGCTGTGTGCCTCCCCTCCATCCTCAATCTCTGACCTCAGTCTGGTTTTTTAGCCTCCTGCCACTTTCTGTGCTGCCTTCTGAGCACCGTCCTGTGGCTTTCACCTCTGCCACTAGAGAAGGGGTGGTGGTAGTCATCAGCAAGAAAGGGGCAGACTTTCAGATACAAGAAGGCTTTTGGGGGTAGGGATGGAGGAAAAAAGGGATTTCTTGCTCACCATGACAGTCTGGGGACGAGTTTCCTCTGGCAACATCCTTTTGGATGATGTCTTTCTCTGCCCATGTCCTGCTGATGGACCATCATAAATGTACCTGGGAGCCTGAGGGTTGACATGATAGGATTAGATAGAGCAGGCAGTGGAGGTTGGGGTTGGGAGGTGATGTAGGAAGGGAAGGGAAGATGCTGTCTTTCCCCATAGCCTCTTACCAGGCTAGTGGGAAATTGGTCCTGGCAGGAAGCACAGTTGAGCTAAGTCTGGTAGGAGATAGGGAGATTTGGAGGCTGATCCATCCGGAATGGGCTGGTGGTTGAAGGGAAGTAGGATAGAGTAGACAAGAATTGGGACTAAGTCATGAGACTGTATAAAAAGTGGGGTTCAGGGAGCATGGGGTTTGGTCACCTTGGTGGGAGAACACAGAAATGTGTTGGTTACGAGTGTGTTCTCTTGGCTGTGGGGGTGAGAAGCAGGGAGGAGATTTGTCCTGATTCTAGGCCAGCTTGATAATCCCTTAGGATGTTGGCTCTGCTGGGTCCAGTTATTTGGCATTGATTCCTCCGCTCTATCGCTGCCCTTCTCTGTCCCCCTCCCTCTGTCCTATATATTTTCTCTTCTCTCTTTCCCCCTCTTCCCTCTACTCTGGGAGAATGGCCTTAGGTTGGGGCTTGGCTGGGAGAAGTGCAGAGTGAAGGGATCAGGATTGAATGGGGTAGTGGAAGTGGTGATGGAGTGGATAAACAATCAAGATCTCAGGAAACTTCTAGATCTACTTTTTCTAACATCAACTCTGCCCTTCATCTATCCCTTCCCTTTCCCAGGGCCTTCTGATGGCCCACCACTATTTCCTGAGTTCTCCAGTCTCCATTCTCCAGCACTTGAAATCCCTAAGGAAAATTCTCCACCCTCTGACCATGTTTCCCAGTGAAGTTAGAAGATCCATCCCTCTCTTCAGGGCAGGCTGTTGCCATGGAAACGTTCTATCCTGCCATAGGAGAAGGCTGTGACCTCCCTCAGGCCTTCTGACTCCTTTAATAGCTGATTTCGTGTCCTCATTTTTTCCACCTGCAGGTGCTTCTGCAGGGTGTGGAAAGGGTAGTGATACTGGAGTGTGAGTTTTTCTGAGTCAATGAGGGTTGTGTGGGAGTGGCGGGCGAGCTCACAGGTTCTTCCTCTCCTCTCCCTTGGGGGGTCAGCCAACAAGCACAAGCCATGGATTGAGGCGGAATACCAGGGCATCGTCATGGAGAATGACAACACGGTCCTGCTGAACCCACCACTCTTCGCCTTGGACAAGGACGCCCCCCTGCGCTATGCAGGTAATTGGGATTGGTGGATTGCAAGGCGGGTAGGGCAGAGAAAAGTGGTTGGGAGGGTAGAAGGCAGCAGAGGAGAGGGGAGATCCTGGGAAGGAGAGCAATAAGGAAGTGGGAAAGAGGCCTTGGAAAGTGGAAGATAAAGTTGGCTCAAGGAGTAGAAAGGGCTACATTGAAGCTGGTGGTTGGGTAAAGGCAACCAGAGAGGACATGGGCAGGATAGGGGTTAAATGAATCAAGATTTTGCCAGATCTCAGACCTGGTACCTCTGAGAGGTTGTTGATCAGGAAAGCTGGCGTTGGAGCTGTATGCTTGATAATTATTGCTTTCAGATGCACAAAAAGGACTGGGCTTGGGAGGAGAGGTGAAGTGGGAACCCGAGGCAGGGAGGCTGAGGCTGGAAGGAGATGTTGGAGGTAGTGCAAGAGCCTCATCTTTTCCTACCCGCTCGGCCAGGTGAGATCTGTGGCTTCCGGCTCCATGGGTCTGGGGTGCCCTTCGAGGCTGTGATCCTGGACAAGGCAACAGGAGAAGGGCTGATTCGGGCCAAGGAGCCAGTGGACTGCGAGGCCCAGAAGGAGCACACTTTCACCATCCAGGCCTATGACTGTGGCGAGGGCCCTGATGGAGCCAACACCAAGAAGTCCCACAAGTGAGGAAGCCCTAGTCCCATGCCCCCTGCTGCAGGGTCT